TGCAGACGCCGACGAAGCCGCCCCTTGTTGATCCGTGGTCATAGGTGAGGGCGGTGAAGGAAACAGATCTGGATATTCCCCGAGACTGATTTCAGACTGCTGAAGGGGCAGTTCTACTCGAAACTCGCACTCTGATTTGAAACAAGACCAATACAGGCTCTGCTCCAAGCGTCGAGACTTACGGTCATTTGATGTGGAGCGTTGATATGAATCCCCCAAAACCTCTGTGAAGTTCCCAGACAGTCCGTGAGTCATTTTCAGATACATTTGACAGAATATTGAAGCATGTAGGAAATAATGCCAGGATAGCATTGGCCGCAAGGTGTACATGAGATATACTGGCAGCAATCTCCGAGTTAGTCATTCCGCCATGGGCAACAAACCGGCGCCAAATGACGAGCTTTTACTCACCGCCAGCAAAAAAATGGCATTGCGCACCGAGCATGGAATACTTCAACGACCCAAGACGCCGACATGCCATGGTAAAGCAACAATCACCCTGCTGCAACTCCTTGGCGTACAGTTTGGAAGACGTTGCTGAGACACCAGTTGGCCCCGTCTCACTCGCGGGAGAAATGGCCATCGACATGGGCAGAGATGATCTGTCGAAAGGCTTTGCCACGGCACCTAGAGCACACGTCATGAGGACTAGACAAGATCGGCCATCCCATCCGATGCCTTGCTCTGCGCATTTTCTTCCATGCTTTACCAAAGCTTCGACGTCAAGGATCGGGTTCTTGGTGTGCACATTTTGCAGGAACCTGTCAATGAGGCCAGGTATTTGTTCCTCTTCGAGATGGGTGAGCCCTGAAGTGTTCGTGATGACATCCCCGGATGAGCTTGAGGTAGCTCCTGTGCAAAGAGAGACACTGTTGTGATCTGGACTGAACAACGTGCCGATGAGGAAGTTTGCTGCATACTTTCCTTCAAAAATCCCCCATTGCAAAACTGTGTCGGCACTTGCTCTATGAGGAGGTATCTGAAGGAAATCTCTGGATGCCTCGACAGAGGCGGCACGGGGAAGTGTGTAGTTGATATCTCGGGAATTGTCAGTCATAACCACATCAGCCGCATCGCGATTCCTCGCTGGGTGTTCTAATGCAAACAAAGGTTAGTCATTTAAAGCTGTGACTGAATCTACCACGGGACATGCCTTGGTTTTGCAACGCATTTTTCACGCTTTCAAACTCTTGACGTAGCTGATCAAATCGTTCTAGCAATGTCGCCGTGGCTGTTTCAAGACTATGGTGGAGCGTCTGTTAGCTCTAGGCTCGTGTAGTCTTTGGTGGAATAATTCTTCCTATCGTTGAGTATACGGTGGTGCATTGCAGCACCTCACAGTATAGCAAGTGAGAATGAGGGAAGGTATTGGAACAAAAGCCGTACGCCTCCACAAGTGTGAAGCTGGTCTTCGGCATCATGATACTGACCTGAGCTTGTCATTTCCCTCGCCTACGTACTCGCAGGGGTGACCGCTGAGTTTGCACAGGCCGCACAACGGCCGTTTTTTGTCACACTTGACTTTGCGTAGGCGGCACGGTTGACAAGCTGCTTGCCGCCGGCTCGGCCCCTGTCGTCAATGTCGTTAGCCGAAGCCGACATTTTTACCAGATTTGTCCCGTCGTTGCCTTGCAATTCAACAGAGTGAAAGCAGGAACGTGGCGAGAGAGTCGAAGCAACAAGCATGAAATTGTTGACGGGCGGCTAAATGAACCGAGCAAAACCACGACTTACACCAGAGGTTGGATTTTCATCCGCGTCGCGCCTCCGACGCTTCGCCGATGGCTCCCCGAGACCGTCCTTGGTTGGAGCATTCTCTGCTCCCCGCCTCGTGGTAGATTCTGGGGAAGACGGGGCCATTGCCGCGGGGAAATGAAGGCATGGATCATCGCTTGATGGAACATGCGAGCATCCAGAAGCTTTAAGCAAATTCAGAGGTTGCTACGGCTGAAGTGAACCTGAGTCGTGTCCCATTGGCGCGCATGCGGAAAACTCGGCGACTCGCCGACGGGGGGGCGTTGGCGTTAGCATTTGCCGACGGCGCCAAACCGACATGTCCACAGTGGCGTCGAAGAAAGGGGAAATGCGTGGGAGCATCGACTCCGGTTCTTACTCGGGGACTGGGTGCTGTCTCCCCGAACTGGCGGTGTTTCCCCCGGCTTTTGGTGTAATATTCCCCATACTCATCACACCAGGCCCATGCGACGGGGCCCCCGAGGTTTGAACTATTGGCTTTCTTCGTCTCGTGAGCGAGCTTCTCCATGCAAGCGGCCCCTTGTCTTTGGTACCGAGGAGCCTAATGTTGACGTCCTATTGCAGACGTCAGTTATAAAGGCGTCATCGTGCCCTTCCCGAGGATGGGAATTGATGGTTGCATGCTTCAAAGCCTTATCCTCACTATCCAAGGCTTACCCCAGACTTTTTTTTAAATCCATTTCGAGGTTACTCGAAGGGCTGCATCGCATATTGCCCAGCATGGGGAAGCTTGGCCAGTTTGTGGCAGAGCACAATGTTGCTCATAAATTGTATAAGCGGACGCTTCTTAACACCGTCTGCGTAGTGGCGGGTATCTCTATCTTCTTTTTCGGCTATGATCAAGGTCTCATGGGTGGTGTGAACACGACACGAAACTACGCAGAATTGATGGGATTCGGTCATTGGGACGAACAACAACAATTGGTCGTTGTTGATAAACCCCTGTTGCAAGGCGGCATTGTAAGTCCAACCGACAGTCCACGATTGTGCCAAGGAAGAAGTATTAACCACCGTCGAAAAGGTTGCTGTCTATTATCTTCCTGGTACTTTGGCAGGCTGCCTTCTGGGCGGTTGGTTAGGTGATAAATATGGCCGTATTACAACCATTGGCCTTGCCTGCCTGTGGTGTGTCTTTGCAGCGGCTCTACAATCAGCGGCGCAGAATGCAAACTGGATGTTTTGCGGTGAGTATACTTCGGGGGGTTAGGGGAAGGATTTCGCGACGACTTAAGTAGTTTTACTGACAACCACGATGCACAGCCCGAGTCTTGAACGGCATCGGAACCGGTATCCTTAACGCCATTACACCAGTTTGGGCTACCGAGACGGCTGCTCACACCTCTCGCGGACAGTTTGTTGCCTTTGAGTTTACACTCAACATTTTCGGCGTTGTCGTGGCGTACTGGCTTGAATTGTAAGTCCTCCTCACCAACTGTGCCACGGTCCTCAGGGCATCTAGAACTAAGACACGAAACCAAACAATAGCGGCACCTCCAAGTACAAGGACCCCAACTCTTCATTCATCTGGAGGTTTCCTGTGGCGTTCCAGATCGTACCCCTTATTCTGCTCTTCTTCATCATTTGGTTCATGCCCGAATCGCCCCGCTGGCTCGTCAAGGTTGGTCGCGAGGACGAGGCCCGTTTCATCCTGCAGCGTCTGAGAGGCAGCGAGGGCGAGGAAGGCGAACAGGCCGAGGCAGAGCTACAGGACATCATCAACATCCGTAATCTGGAGGAGGAGACATCCAACCAGCAGGGCTATCTGCACATGCTCTTCGGCATCGGATCCGGCAAGCTGCACACTGGCCGTCGCGTACAGCTCGTCATTTGGCTGCAGATTCTGCAAGAGTGGATTGGCATTGCTGGCATCACCATCTACGGGCCTCAGATTTTCACAATTGCTGGCATCAGCGCTTCAGACCGTCTCTGGGTCAGCGGTGTCAACAATATTACATACATGGTAACTTCTATCCCCTGTCTGACCGAAACCCCCCCCCAATCCGTAGCTAACACAACAATGTTCCGCAAAAGTTTGCCACCTTGATCTGCGTCTTCACGCTCGACCGAATCGGTCGTCGATGGACACTGTACTGGGGCTCCGTAGGCCAAGGCATATGCATGTTCGTCGCGGGAGGTCTCGCACGCGCAACCATCAACGCCGGCGACGGTAACCGCGCGCAGATTGGCGGTGCAGCCACCTTCTTCGTGTTCTTGTACACGGCCATCTTCGGAGCCACCTGGCTCACAGTTCCGTGGCTGTATCCCGCCGAGATCTTCCCTCTGCAAGTCCGTGCCAAGGGAAATGCATGGGGTGTCGTCGGATGGTCCATTGGCAACGGCTGGTGTGTAAGTGTGAACCCCCTTCACTGCCTGCCGCCCCTATGTACATGTTTACATCCGGGCGAGCCCAAGACACACCAAGTTAATATCCAGATGTATGCAGGTGCTTCTCCTCCCCACCATTTTCGACAAACTCAACGAGAAGACGCTTTACATCTTTGGCGGCGTCAACGTGCTCACCATCTTCGTCGTTTGGGCGCTGTATCCTGAGTCGAACCAGCGCACGCTTGAAGAGATGGACCTCGTCTTTGCGAGCGACAGTATCTGGACATGGGAGGCCGAGAAGAACTTTGCTAGACTCAAGGCGGAGAATCCACAGCTCGTGCAGGCCGCCAAGTCGGGCCACGGTGTGGTTGATCCCGAGAAGGGTGCCGAATCCCGAAAGGCAAGCCTGGTGCCTGGCCGGAGGGCAAGTCTCGTCCCGCGAGATGATGGCGCGGATGGGTCAAAGGGCACATCGAATGACAATGACAAGTCGAGTGTCTCACATGTGTGATTCACGGCACTGCGACGGAGTACATACATGGTACATTCACTAGAGTTAGCCGTACAGAAGAAGCTGGGGATGATGCACTTGGGCGGTTTCATATGCAGCTCATGGGAAGAAGCAAACATTGTCCTTGTATACCACGTAATAGCTCGCGCTAGTGGTAGCGAAAATAGTACAGCTCGACATGAATTTTGTATATTGGATTGGACCTTTTCCAAAACGGCCACCTTTTATCCTCATGCACATGTCCAAAGAACCAATCCATACCGTCTCTATAAGTATGCCCAAGCCCATCACCAGTCAGCCAGCAAGCCATTGGAATCCCAATTGCCGCCAAAATGCCATAATAAAAAGATGAAAAGAGAAAAAGCAAAAAAATCCCAACAAAAAACTCCAGTGTAGGCATACAATGCACCTAGTCTCTATCGCTATCCATGTCCCCCTCATCGTCGTCGGTGAGGTCGACGGCCAACTTGTGCGCCTCGTGCTCCATCATCTCGCGGTAGGTGCTCCAGCTCAAAGCCGCAAAGGCCACAATGATCATGCTCCCGCCCATGATGGCGGCCCAACTGAGCGGCTGGCCGGTCAGGAACCAATCGGCAAGAGCGACGATGAAGATGGTCAACAGGGCGGCGACGCTGGACAGCACGGGCGACGTCAGCGAAATCAGCACCAGGAAGCAGCCGCTAAACGTGGCGTTGGACAAGACGGCCAAGAGAATCAGCCAGCATGTCGAGGCGTTGGGGATTTCGAAACGCTCAATGTGGAGCCAGTGCAGGAAGGGGAGGGGGATCCAGAGCACGGTGAGGGTGAAGAAGCCGATGCAGCTGCCGAACACGTTGGCGAAGATGGTGCCGCGGACGGGGGACACACCCTCGGGCGGGCAGGCGTAGCGCTTGTACAGGACCTCGTAGAGGCCGTACAGCACGGAACCCACGCCGATGATGAGGTTGCCTGCGAAGCGGGAGCCTGCACCGGGGTTGGAGGGGCCGGCCGCGGACGACGTCGCCTCGTCGGAGCCGGTGTCGCCGTAGGCTACGACCAGGACGCCCAGGATGGCGATCATGACGGCGATGGACTTGTCCACGCGGAGGGGTTCTTTGAGAATCGGCACGGAGAATGCGTACGCAAAGAAGGCGCTGCAGTTGTATATGGCGGTCAGGTCGGACGGGGTCGTCAGGCTCACGGCAATGTACCAGCTCAGCCCGGCAATGGTCAGCGCAGAGGTGATGTATATCGTCATTCGCGCAAGATACATGACCGGCCGCCCGCGCCGGGCAACCGAGGGCGTCGTGACGTTGATGGTCTGCAGCTCAATCATGGTGACGGTCGACAGGACAACCTGTAGGTGCTTCCGCCAGAACTGGTCCCACGGCTCATGGCGCTTCTGCAGTCTTACAACTAGAAACGTCATTGGCCACAGAACTATCCACGAGCTGTGCGTCAGGTACATCATGCAATACGCCTTGCCCCAGGCCAGATCGTGCTGAATGTACGCGGACAGCTCGGTCTGTATGCAGAAGGCGACGAGGGATATGGAAAGGAAAAAGGCGGCAAAGAGGTATTTCTTGCGGGCAGAGGCCTTGGCGGCTTGGAGCGTGCTGGCGGGATTGCGCGAGTGCATGGTCGATTGGCGGCTGAAGGTGCTGCGTTGCGAGGTCGTCGTCGTCATAGGCGGACGGCGACCGGCTTCGGTGTCGTTGGTGTTGGGAGTCAGTTGTGAGGACGGAGAGGACGTGCCCGAGCGAGAGGGGCGCTTGGATTCCACCTCGTCCATGTGGTCTTCTGCCTTGAAGAGCAGAGGCGTGCCGGAGCGACTTCCGCGGTTCGGTCGACGATCGCTGTCCATGGTGTTTGAAAACGGGGGCCGGTGGTTCGCCGGCAATTGCGTTATGACGAGGGGAGAGGCATACGGTGCTCCAAGCTATGAAACAGCACAGATGATGTTTGCGGGCAAAAGTTTGTCCTTTTTTGCTCTCTCCAAGATTTTACCGAGATTGTATTCCGCGCAGGAATGGGCAAATCTCCATAAACAAAGGAGTCAAGGGAACAAATCCGAGGCAGGGAGAGCAAAGCCCATTGAATGAGACGGCAGAGTGCCCAATCCGAGAGAGGACAAAGGGTAAAAAGGAGAGACCATCAATTCAGGGTAGAGTGAGTGGAAGCATGATATGATTCCGCCGCGGCGATGAAGGACAGGAAGAAGCCAGGCTGTCGAATTCGCTTCAAGGGCGCAGATCCGGGGATTCAAAAAGTGAGATTGATGAATGTCCGAAGAACCCACTGGGCTGCAGGTCGCTGTTTTCGCTGACATTTGAGGGTCCCTACATGTAGCCAATCCAGCACCTGAGGTACGTACCAGCCTATCCCCGTAAAATGGGGTCACGACAAGGGGGGCCACGCGGCGAGTCACTTGCGTGCACAGGGCGAATGGGAGGGGAGGGGGCATTTGCTCGGGGCAGCTGGGCCAGGCTTCGTGTTCAAAATCTTGGTTCTGGTCGAATTGACTGGACTGAACTACGGAGTACTCCGTGCGCGTTGCAGGTCGAGGGGAAGATCTAGGTGCCAAGCCGTCCGAGTTCGTTTGATGCTTTAGGTGTGGATTTGGGTTTGGCGCCTTAAAATCGGCCAACGCAAATCCGTGCCCTTGGACACGATGGCTATGCCTACTTCACGCCATGGAATCTACCCACGCATCAGAATGTGCGGCCTTTATATGAGGCCAAATACTTGTTGTCGCGACTGTCGGTGACGTCAGTGAGGCTCGTGGCCGTTGACTCGTCGCTTCTACGACTTGCGGCACTTGTCATAAGACCGCATGCGCTTTCGGTCAGCCACCTCTTAATTACCCAGGACGCAGCATCTCGATCAATCTGGATGCTACATGCCGTTGTACAGCGATCCGCATGCAACCGTCACCTGAGCCCGCGCAGCGGCGCTGCAACCCTACCTGCCTCTCCGAGTCTTGGTCCGTAATACGTCAGGTACAGCAACAAGGTACACGCACTGGGCGGCACAGCCCGTCAGGGCCGCATTGGATCACACCAAATCAATCCATACTTTTTTTCTCCTTTCCAAAACGCATTCATCAGTATCAATATTTCGTCCCTAGTCTTGACGCAATTTTTACACGTCCATCTACTTGGCCCCGGGCCCAAACAACAGCCCCCTAGGATCGTAGCCATAGTCCAAATCGCCGTGCCAGTAATTGGCCGAGTCAGCCTTGGAGATTTGCCACGCATCATCGAGAGCCTTGACAACCTCGTCAGGAAGCGGCCCCTTCTCCAGGTTGTTCAAGTTGTCCTCTAGCTGTTCGACACTCGATACACCAATGAGTATTCCATCGTTACCATCCTTGATCTTGAGCTTGGAATGATGCACTACCCATCGCAGCGCCGTCTCGATCATGGTCAAATTGTGTTTCTCGACGACCCCTTCCACCAGCTGGATGGCCTTGAATGTGCTCTCGCGGAAATATCGCTTCCGGTAATTGGCACCCTGGACGGAACTGACATCCGAGAACCGACCGCTCTCGGGGATCATGTCGTGCGACTTGATCTTGCCCGAGAAGAGACCACCGGCCAGGGGATTGTATACAACAATATCGAGGCCGTAACGACGACAAGCTGTGAACAGCTCGGCTTCAATATTACGCGTGATGCAGTTATACATGCCCTGGAAAATGCTCGGCCGAACCCAGTTGTTGTACTTGCAAATCATCATAACTTCGGCCACCTCGTATGCAGTGAAATTGCTTATACCAAGGCGAACAAATTTGCCAGCCTTGTGCAGCTTATCCATAGCTTCGAGCGTCTCTTGGAACGGCGTGCCACGATCGGGCTTGTGTAGATATAGGATCTGGTACAGCCCCCATGATTGTCAGTTTTTTCCTGGCTTTAAGAAAGTTTGCCATTTGAAGCATCAGGTACCAGAAAACACTTACATCTACACAGTCAGTGCCCAGGTCCTTGAGACTAGTCTCCACCGAAGCAATCACCTTGTCAGCCGTGTTATCCCCAGGTGCAAATGGATATTGGACTTTGGTGGCCAGGGTCAATCCCCTCTCCTTCCACCTGGCCTCCTTCGTAAATGCCTCTTGTTTTCCGCCGACATAAATGCGAGCTGTGTCTACCTCGCTATATCCTCTTGTCTGAAACAGGTCCAGAGCCTTGTTGAAAGTATCCAGGTCAGTGATGCGGGCGCCGTCCTCCGAACTCGGTCCAAACGTCATCAGACCCAGGATGATACGCGGGTTTACATTCTGAACGATGAGGGGCATCTTGGCGGTAGGTGTGAAAACTGGCAGAGGTGCTGTCGGATGAGGCTCTCCTGTCCAATTTTTCAACAAGTCGTCAGATCCAATGCAGAGCTATGGACCAGACCCTCTGCTTTATAATTGAATTTTGAGTGCGGGGGCCTGGGGGGACTCGGTGACGCTATCCACACGATCTTAAGTCCGGTACAGCTCCGTAATAGCCAGACACATGTCTAGCTGTACAAGATGTAACTGGGTGCGCATCACAAGGGCGTGGAGAATCGTGATTCGTGGGGCTGCCCCCTCTTGAACACTTGAGCGCCGAGCTTCTCCAAATATGGGAAACCTAGGATATTTCCTCAATGTTATGTTGAAGCTAGGAGGCATGCACGCGGTTAGTGAGGCCCTCATTGGTGTCGGCATCGATAACCGTAAACGTTCAAGGGTCATCAGGCTCAAGCGTATGCTGTGATACCAGTAATGACTCACGGTCGATCTGCTGCCAACAGTAATACAGAAGTACCCGGTCAAACAGAAGTGGCGTTATCGTGTGCAGGCGCAAATAGCTTCACTAGCTCATTGCCTTGGTCACCGGGAAAGTCGACGAGTCAAATGTAGGCAGGTTTGATTTTCAAAAGATGCATTCTAATCATCTCGAGGATATCCGGGGTTTCTTGTGCGGGCGCAAGGAAGGCGCCGCTTCGGTTCCTTCCATATCCGGACGGAAACCTGTTGAAAGGTTGAAGTCGTGTACGCCATAGCCTGGCCCAAAACCATGATTCAATTTTTAAGAAAATAACATCATAAACACGCCCCCAATGTGTTTCCTCGTGACCGGTGATAATTTTTGTGCTGCGATAAAGCGATTTGAGCCACATTACTTCCGGGAGAATGTCCGCCTTTTACAGATATCGCCAACTTACTTTGAGCCTATCGTGCCAAGCAAGCTCTCAGCTGATGGGAGCCCTTCTCCCAGTTACGAGTTATTTCGAAGCATTCCCTGGATAAGTACACGCATATGTTTTGCGATTTTAGATTGTCCAATCCTCGTTACCTCGCCAACTTACCTCAATTCGATGATTATCGGTCAGTCGAGTGGTACAAAGCCCTACATTGGATCGTCCACAATCCGAGCACCAAAGTGTATCTCATCTACAGCAGGTGGCCCAACTCGAAGCTCCGAGTCCTGCAGAGTTGAAACCTGAGCGCATGTAGTATCAACCGTGCCTTGTGCTTTAATCGCCTTCCAGACTCCAGCAAGTCCTCATTGTTAGTCGAAAAATGATACACATAACACGATTGCAAGCAAAATTGAACACGTGCTTTGTTTCATCGCGGAATCGCGTTATTCAGAATTCCCAACAGCACCTGATATGGACCAACCTGCCTGGTTGGCAATGGCTGACGTATATCAATTATAGGCAAGAAGGCAGTTGCACCAGGCAGGTTGTATTCCATTGACTGGCCATCCGATCGTGTGTCGAAGCATTGGCTAACATTTGGGGACATTCGGGATAGAAACTGTCGAGATTCGCATCAACAAGTCAAAGAGGTACGGGTCGTTTTTTTCGTCTTTTTTTGGCAAGATCGGGGGATTTGCAGTGATAACGATAGAACAGTTTTGCCATTCATGAGGCTTGGTCTTGAGCACAGCCATTGACGGGGGGTTTTAGCCGGTTGGTTGAACAGAACAATATAATGCATGTGCAAAGTATAGGAGCAAAAAGACATTGTAAAATAACAGGCTAATCAGTCAAGCATTTCAGGGAGAAGACATTTATCAGGGGGGCCAGCCCTTGTTGTTAGGGGTTACTAGCAGAGAGTTCGAGGACCTGGCATGTCAAGAGAGAGATCCGAGCTGCAGAGCACTTTGCAACTGTTCTGCAATAAACTTACAAAGACATCAACGCCGTGTTCATCTGCCGTTCGTCTGCCATACTGAAAAGGGCATTGTTTCAGCCAAGCCTCCTGTTGGAATGACGAGGACTGGATCTGAAGGCGCAGACCTCTTGCGGCATCAGCTCGAAATGATGGTTCGATCTTCGGAAGGAGTAGGATCCGCCGGATAGGCAAAAACTGACATGAGTCGATAGACTTGTAATCAGCCACAGACACCTTCACCGGCGTACAATACGTGTTCCTGCACCCCCCCGGCGGCCGGACCCGAGGATGGAAAAGGTGGCACCACCTCTCCGGGCGTGGGCATCTCACTGATCTCAGGCACCGCTTTTTCCAGGCCCAATTGATCCGTCAGCCAATTCCCTCGACGGGCATTGGTCTGCCTCGAAAAAAAGGTGCTGTTCGCCGTCCATACTACCGGGTGCAACCCCGTAAGCCAGTACCATTCCGGACAGCTCCCCCCCCGCCATTGGCCAGCAGGCAAAGGCACTCATGGCCAGTGGTGTGATAATTGCGACCAACACCGTCGATATCTGCCCACCACAAGCTTCACCACACAACAACTCTCCGTAGCAAGGCAAAGCTGAACGCTCCGTGGGCTGAGGGACCCAAGACGCCGGAAAATATTTCTGTCACAAACGGGAAAAACAAACGTCATGTGCGGGAGGCGTCATGACGTGCCACCAGGTACAAAAAGGCATGCCATGCATCCTCAAACAGACGTCACAGCCATCCATACCACGTCAAGTGCATCGAATACAACATCAGCAGCCAAAAAAGGCAATCTCTACTCCATATTCTCTGCGAGATCAAACTCCACTCTACAACAGGCATTTACTTGTCCAAAAACTCTACTTACACAATGAACTCTGCCGTCTCCCGCATCGCATCACGGAGGTCATTCTCCCTCCTCACGGCCGCCCGCTCCGCCGCGCGGTCTATGGAATCCCATCCCTTCCAGCGCCCTTCCGCTGCACAAAAATCCGCCAAGGCCGATTGGGCCGGCGAGGGAAAACGTCTGGGCAAACAGCTGGCCATGTAAGTTCTTCCCCGTGCGCGAGGCGCAGACGGGTGCTAATGCGGTACAGATTCGTCCCCGGCATCTCCATGCTACTGGGCTGGCCGTACCTTGCAAAGGTCGTTGCCGACGGCCACGTCTGACTCGGTGGTTTCGGGCGCGCCTTCTATTGTGAAATGCACGAGGAGGGGGCGAAGCGCCCGATTCCGAGGATGTTGGATTTTGTTTCGGAGGCTTTTTGACGTATATATTTAGCGGCATCGTATATATGGTGTTTTGGGACGCATTTGCATTGAATTTATTAGAATATTCATCGTTCGCTATCTCCGACCCTGTGATAATTCATTCCCGTACATGACGATTATACTACGAGGGACCGGAACATGAAGCCTCAAGCTCGCCCTTCAATGCACAAGCCCAGAAGACCCGGTGCCACTCACAGTGATCCCACTCCAATCAGACTGCGACGGGCTCTTCGATTGTAGCTCAAGCTCTTCTTTAGCAATACGGTCATGGCTCCCGCTGCGAATCGTCGTCCAGCCCAAGCCCCTCCGGATCCTATTCTCCTTGGCCCGTCTCTCCAGTCGGGATAATCTGTGTCCGCCGGGGGGATCTGATAAGCCCCCTGCATCACTTGTCTTGGAGCCACCACCAGAATGAATACCGCGCAGATTGTGGACGGCGCGAGCGATCCAGGGTCCTAGGATGGGGATGTTGGTGGCAATGATGCCGACAAACTAAGCCATATCAGAATGAACCGGCATTCAAAGTCCAGGAGTTCTGGCTTACCGTTTCTCGAAGGGACCAGATTAAAGCCATGTTGGCTTTGTTATCGTTTAGGAGGCAGATGATGCAACGGAAAACAGCAGCGATGACGACGAAACCCCCCGTGCAAAGCCAGATCCCGCAAAGTAGCTTCCTACACGCGACCGGTTAATACGCCATTCGAGCTGGAGTCGTGATAAACCTGCCTGTGCCACGGCATTTGGACCTTCCAAAGCAGCGGTAACGGAACAGCTAGAATCATCAAGTCGGTGCTACATCAGGTTAGTTTTTCCCCCGTCGTGTTCTTTTTTATTCTAGCGAGTTGGTGAGAAGCAGGAGCCCAAACCTGACGTTTGTGACGAATAGCGCGTAATGCATGGGCGTGCCCCGAGCACAGGCATCTGCGATTCTCTTGTCAATAGGGTGTGCCGGCACATCGACTTGCCACGGGGGTTGACGCACCGCCGGGATATGGGTGAATCTGCCACTTCCTTTGGATGGGCGTGCAATGCGACCCAATGACGGCAATGAGGGAGATGTATGCTGCGACGCAGGCTACGGCTGTGATCTTGACCATGTGCCGCTGCTTGAGGTCCAGGCTTGGGAGTGTCAGCAAATCAATATGTCCCAGTCTTCTCTACAGGAGCGGGGGCTTGGCTCACGTTAACCTTCCGTAGAGAAAGAGCATGCAGGCTTTTAGTGCCCAAATCAGAGAGACGTAGATGCACCAGCCTGCCAAGATGCACTTGGCCCCAATCGCAATATTGTGCCTCTCTTCGTCGGTGAGTGTGAGGGCTTTGTGTTCGTGGAGGCCTTTGAGGGAGCCGTGTGTTCCTATGGGACGGTCAGTTCGCTCACCACGCTTTTGTCAAAACATCATATATCCGGCTGGGAATATGTACCTATCATATGAAACATACACAGCTCTGCCTGTCGTCCCCGCGTTAGACATTGTTTTGGGATCTCACATGGAGCAGGATTTGCACCCACTGTCCAGAGAATGATGGCCAAGAAGGCAAAGTAGTCATCTCCATCCCAGTTCATTCCCACCACGCTGGTGCGGCAAAGAATCCGGGCAACGAGGACACAGATTCCCAGTACGTACTCGGTCCATGCTTCTGTTGCATATGGGGATACGGGCATGGTAGGTCAGGGTCCGCTGTCGTCATCGAAGTAGCTAGGCTAACTCGAAGCTATCGTCCAATTGTGAGCGGCTCGTCGATGGAAAGAAATCACTCCAAGTAAACAGTCGTACGATGTTGTTGGTGTTTTGTTGGCAGGATCAACACTAGGGAGGCGGGATTTCTATACCGAGCTGCTCTCCCTTGTCTCTTTTGCCTGGCAGCCGCAAAGTCGAGGCTAGTGGACACCACTTCATGATGCTGACTCTCTTTTCTTCTTAATCGATTCGTATTCCAAAGTACATCATGATTTGGTGACAGCGGCCAGGAACACAGGCCAGCAACTGCCCCGACGGTGGATGCGACGGATCGGGAATTCATACGCGGTAGAGCTAAACCGCCAGGCCTGGTAGTACTGAGGCATCCTTTGGCCTATCATGGGCAACAGTGGAAAGGAGGAGGACCAAAATTGTAGTTCCGCAGCCCTGGTCCTGACACCTATGGAAATTGCGCTTGAATCCCCGTATCCATCCCTAATAATCAGTAGTCGTCGACGCGCCACAATGTTGGGCCGACTATGACAAACAGTATTGCTCTTGTGTTGTGGCGGCGCTCCAATACACCTGTGTGCCTTCATTTTGCTTTTGTTCCGTCGGAACGCCCTCTTTCAGATCCGCAGCGTAATTTCTGTCCGTGTTGGTGTCATTGTCCATGGTACGATCCCACGGGCCAAACGACGAGTCAAATGTCATAGCTTTCACTGCAAGCCATGTTTCTCACAAGAGCAAACTTGTACCGCCCATGACCAACAAACGGTGATTGCGTTGGGCTGATGGCGCCCTGTTCTCCAGTCTTTACTGATGGCCGTAAACCGCGTCCGGACTCCGGATCGCCTCGTCTTCATTGCAAGAGTATGATCACAGAAGTATCTGTGCCTGAGACAAGTCTGCCGGATTAACTAGGAAAGTACGGAGTAGTAGTAAGTCTTGTTTCCCCCCCTCTCGAGGACAAAGTATCCATGAACTATGGTGTGCCATTCGGGATGTGTCGCCTTTAGCCTGCGTACAGCGCAATGCGCATAGAAGAAAAGGAGCCTAATTTCGGTTGGTTTGGCGCTGCCGAGTGCATGTGACCCCAGGGCGACGCGGGCAAGCAAGATATCAATCTAGGCAGCCGGTCTAGCTATTCGATTGGTTGAGCCAAGCCTGAACAATCTTTACTGGATGTAAACTGTCCACGAGCCAACAACCGATTCCCGTCCCTAAGCCTGATCAGTGCAGGGCGTTCCCAATTTAAGAGGATAGCGTCCTTCTTTCGCTCGTCACGGCGCTGAGCATTTAGGACGACCATTGTTACGACCGTGGAGTTCCCCTTCTCATCACCATAAAGTACGTCGTCCTTAGAGGGCGGCTTCAGGAACATGCCGGGAATGCGTGTCCCGGTTGCTGATTTCATAGAGGATGAATATGGCGCCCTTGATATCGTTTCAGTCTTTTCCATATCCAATGCCGCTGATGCGGCCGCTATAACTGAAGTTAAACGATATAAGGATGTCTGTCTTGGGGTCGACGAGCATAGTTCGCGCCTCGATATCCTGGTGGGCGATGCCATGTTTGAGATTTAAGCCGTCGATGACGCAAGTTGGCTGCCAAAGCCACTTGAGCTTAAATGTACGTGCTGTGATAGATGGATAGCGTATACGTCAAGTCCTAAGGAATCAATGTACTTCTCGAGGTATCTGATGGCGATATCTTCGCTCTCTTGTGCGTTAACGGCGCTGATATGTCGTTGATCCCAGTCGAGGATGAACCATGTGCTTGGCCCCTTAGGTGTGCATAAGAGGGCCGCCAGGGGCGACATATCTCCACTCGTCGTCAATCATTTCAATGTTGTCTTTTGCGCTTTGGGGCAGAGTGATGAGGAGAATACAAGACGTGGGGGAGACGGGAGAGAAACGGTGCAGCGAGGAAGAGGCTCGAAGCGGCAAGGGGCAGAGAGCAGGAGAAGAGGAGCGTCCAGATGTCTCGTCTGGTTTACTTGCTTGTAGCATGTAAATACTAGCCCCAAGGGCCAATCAGCTGCATGTGGTGAAGGTCAGGACTCGGGGGATCCCTTCAGTTGTCAATTGGTTCTTTTGCGGCTGGGGGGAGGGTCCTTTGGGCCTTCGCTGCGAGGTACCTACTGCCTTAGGTACTTAAGTAGTAGGTCGAGGTATCTTTGCCCACCAAGTCTCCGTATACCAGACAGTAATATGTCTGGTATATCAGCACTGAGTCTATTAAGTTGACCAGACTGTATTAGACTCAAATGCAATGACATTAAGAGCAAGGTCAACTTGCTTCGTTCCACGTACACCACACGTGAAGCATATCAACACTGCATGTAGAGCCTGAGGCATGCGAATCTGCAGTGCTCGACAACGGCATGCATGATGAAGCCAATTGCTTGTGGCTGCATCTACCCAGCCATGAGGCAGCGCCACTTGCACGCCAATTCGGTCACCCACGGTGGCGACGGCACGGCGAGAGCCTTCAACTGTTGGGCAAACGAACATTCTTTCCAGAAGGCTTTTACCCCAGGACGAGGTACTACCAGCCATCAGTTTGTCGGTCTTTCCGCCGTCTCATCTCCAAGACCTGCCCCCACCACGTTGTCAAAGTTGTCTTGAATCCTGGCATCGTCAAGCCAGGCTTGCAGATCCCCCACGTTTTAGCGCGGCCTCCCCCGCAAATTGAATCATCAGAGCGATCATCTAGTATTTCGCCCTTGTGTAACATGTCGAGTTTCCCTGTTCACGACGTAGAAGCCCCGAGCTGGCGCTACCTCGGGGCCATTTTGATGCGAAGGCAGATGTGCATTACCAGGTGGCGGGACGGGAAATGCGTAGGCGGGGGAAGAGCCGATGCATTCTTGTTTGCCGCAAACATCTAAATAATTGACATTCGTTTCTCGTTTTGATTCTACTGTTGCATTGCAAAACCTATTCGTACGTGCAGTATTGCATGCCGTTATTCCTATCCATAGCTGTCGTTCTACTTGTTAGTTCCAAGAGCACTTCATCATGAACGGCACCGAAGACAAACTTGGCACGCCAGCGCCAGACGACTTCTCGGCCGGGGTTACCCACGCGTTTCGTTCAGCAGATGGTTCATCAAAGGGTGCGCCCCGAGGGTTTCAGCCTCCCGAGATAATTCGTCTCATGTCGCCCGAGGAGCGCGATCAGCTGGAGAAGAAGCTCATCCGGAAGATTGACATTCGCATCCTCCCAATGATTGTCGTCATGTACATTCTGAACTATATTGATAGGTACGGGTCTTTTTCAACCTTTTACCGGACCACGACTAAACAGTACGCTAGGAACAATATCGCATCTGCCAGATTTGCTGGTTTGGAAGATGATCTGAAGCTTAATTCAAGCGGGACTCAGTTCTCTGTAAGCTGCTTGCAATATGGACAAAGAAGCTTCTTACTAACAACTTGCCACTCAGACCGCTGTCAGTATCCTCTTCGTGGGGTATGATAACTCAACTTGGCCGCGCCATCTGACTTTTGCTTATGCGTCATAGATATCTATTAATGCAAGTACCGTCCAACTTGCTTCTTAACAAGACTGGGAAGCCAGGCAAATACCTGCCTATCTGCGTAAGTAAACACGCTCAAAAATGGCATGAACCCCTACTGAGACGAATGCAGATGGCGATTTGGGGAGTCATCTCGGCTGCAACCGCAGGCTGCCACTCCTTTGGGGGACTCCTAGCTGCCAGGTTCTTCCTTGGATTCGTTGAAGCAGCATACTTTGTAAGTCCTCATCCGCACAATTTGACATCCAGTGCTGACCATTGTGGATCAGCCAGGCTGTCTGTACTATCTCAGCTGTTGGTATACACGCAAAGAGTTGGGTGTGCGGACGACATATCTCTATGCAGGATCACTCATATCTGGCGCCTTTTCTGGCCTCATTGCCGCTGGCATCACAGGCAACATGGACGGAACTCGCGGCCTTCGTGCGTGGCGGTGGCTGTTCATCATTGAGGGCGCGATTACTGTCGCAATTGCAATTGTTGCCTTCTTCATCTTGCCAGACTTTCCGCGAACGACAAAGTGGCTGAACAAGGAGGAAATGGCGCTTGCTGTCTGGAGGCTGGAGGAAGATATCGGCCAGGATGATTGGGTGAATTCGCAAGAACAGACTCTTTGGCACGGCTTCAAGCTCGCGTTGGAAGATGTGAAAACCTGGGTCTTGGTAAGTTTCTTGACGCAGTACTTTACCATCCGTCATACTGACCGTTACCCTAGCTTGTGATGCTCTTTGGCAATATAGCTGCGGCGTCTGTTACCAATTTCTTCCCCACCGTCGTCGCGACTCTCAAGTATAAGCCGGTAGTTACGCTGTTGTTGACCGCGCCGCCGTACGTTCTGGGCGTCATCACTACATTCGCAACAGCATGGCATGCAGATAGAACTGGCGAGCGGTTTTATCACGTTAGCATTCCTCTGTGTCTGGCAATGGTGACGTTTATCATCTCGGCAGCTACAACAAACATTGCCGCCAGATACGTTGCCATCATGCTCATGGTAGGTCCGCATCTGCCTCTGTGCGTGGAAAGGATGGTCGTCCTGACACATGACTTGTTTAGATTCCCGGTCTCTATAGCGGATTTACTACTGCCCTGGCTTGGATCAGCAATACTTTACCACGTCCGCCAGCCAAAAGAGCTGCAGCACTTGCCTTTATCAATGCCGTGGCGAACAGCACATCGATCTATGCCAGTTACTTGTACCCCAAGTCGGCTGCTCCGGAATATACCGGAGCCTTTATTCACAACTGCGTCATGGCAGCAGTGGCGATATTTGCAGCATTTGTGCTGAAGAGAATGCTGGTCCGGCTGAACAATATATTGGACAGAGGAGAAACGGTTGAGGGTGCAGTTAATGCGGCGCCTGGGGAGGCCGTGGAGCATGGATTTCGTTTTTTGGTGTAGATGTCTGTCATGTACTGCCCGTATGCTGTCCGCCCAACCA